CCCCAAAACCCCAAAACCCCAAAACCCCAAAACCCCTTAAATTTAATCAATATTGAAAATGCACTGAAGTCCGTTCCTACTTGGCCTTCTACACATAATCTAGAGATCACGTACCTTCTTTTTCTTCTTGGGCATAGGGGAGGTTCCTTCTGTGACCTTCTTGTCCTCTTTTTTATCATCACTAGTCTCCTTCTCCTCTGGAGGATCCTTTTTCTCATCTGTAGGAGGTAGAGTAACCTTCTTGGTAATTTTTTTCTCTTTTTTGTTCTCTTCCTTCTCCTCATTCTTCTTATCATCCTTCTTCTCTTCCTCTGCTTCTTTCTTGTCAGACTTAGGGACTTTCTTCGTAACCTTAGGCTTAGGCGATGTCTTCTGAGCTTTCTTGGTATTCTTAGTCTCTTTTGGAGACTCTTGCTTTCTCTGAGGACTTCTCTCGTTTAATTTTTGTTCAAGAGCTTGTCTACGAAGCTCCTGCTCTTCAGCCATCTTCTTCTCAAGTTCTTCCTTCTCTTTCATCTCTTCAGCTCTTGCTTTTCTGATATTCTGCTTGATTACTTTATTCTGCTCTTTTATTTTCATTTCTAAATGAGAATCAGAGGATATAACTACCAAGTTCTTGGTTGAGTTTATTCTTCTTTACTATTTCTTCTGTAAGTCTTTGCTTATGCTTGTTGGTTTCGTCAGGCTTTTTCTCAAGCTGTTTAGATCTGTTCTCTTCGTTTTCTAGTAGTTTCTTTAATTTTTCAAGCCTTTCCTGCATTTCGGTTAGCTTAGACCCAGAGGAAGTTACTGGCTTTCCTTTAATCTTCGATCTACGAGTGAATAGAGATCTTACTTCAGTGTAGCATTTTCTTCTAGTGTATCTACTAGGTATTTATGATTGTCTTGCGTATTTCTTTGGGTTTCTAGCAACTCTTTTTGAACAGCTCTGAGCTCCTCTTTCTTATTATGAAGTAATTCTCCCATTTTTGTACGCTTTTCTTCATATTCTGTCTCATTTTTAAGCCGTTTGAGCTCTAAATGGTCAAATTGAGTGAAATACTCAAGTTCTTTTTAGCTTTGAGCCTCTGTAAGATCTCAATGTCCCTCTGAAGTTCCTTGTTCTTCCTAGAAATTGTCAATTACTGAGAAAAATTTAGTGTCAAAGTCTACCTCTCATTATCAATAATAGTATCTTTAGTGGAACTAGAGGCCTCTCTGGATTTCTTCTTAAGTACCTCAGCTTTGTTGTTGAGGGTCTGAAGTTCCTTATAAAGTTTCTTCAGTTCAGGATTCTCCTTCTTCCAAGAGGAAAGGAAGTAAGTATTGTATCTTTGTCCGTTTATCTTATTATTTCTCTTGATTTATAGTCTTTTCTAAAACTCTAGAAGGTAATCCTACCGATAGTTTGTTCAACAACGCTTTCAAGATCCTTTACTTTGTTTCGAAGGATCTCGTTGACTTCTTTAAGCTTCTCAATGGTCTGATCACGATCATCTTCATCATCTTCTTGGTACTTGACATTGTTTAATTTTTCAAGTTCCTTATCAATTTTCTCCATTTCAAGCACTTTCGACTGCTGCCGAGACTCTGATATATTTTTGGGCAAAACTAGGAATTAAGCCATTGCTTACTATCATGCAAAGTCTTGGTGTTCTCAGGAATCGGGTTCAGGTTGGATTTCATTCGTATAAATATAAATAAATTTTATGATTAATTTCAAATTAAATTTCTCGTCAAGGGGTTTTGGGGTTTTGGGGTTTTGGGGTTTTGGGG